CTTTCACCCAAGTTCTTTTGTTGTCTGGCGCACTCCACCACTCTCGCTACTGTCTCGCGCTCTAGCTTCTTTGGCCAGACGCGCGAATTGCGAGATTTCAATATCGCCGTCGGGTTTCATCCCTTAATGACTTTCTCTCTTTTTATTTTATCTTTTTTTCGAGTTTTATACCTTCTTTTACCATTTCTGAAATGAAAGGCACACGCCTCAAGGAGTACTCGTCGTTAGGTTCTGTTGCCTACGACAAGATCGAAACACAGCCAGCGGCTGTAAAACCTCCACTTTTCCTAGATTATTTTACCTTTTTTCAGTGTCCACTAATTTGAGCTTTTTCGAGCCCCATATAATCTTCTAAACCGGCCAGTTACCTTCTTAAATTTCGAGATGCCGACGTCGTCGGTATTTCGCAACATGTGGTCGTCTGTGAGGTTGCCAATAAACTTTTTCAATAACCTTCCGCGCTCTGTGAGAATAAACTCGAAATGCATTAATTACATCTATGTTCGGGAAAGTCATGAATGAGGGACAAGCTTTTATACAAAGAGGAAAGTCTTTCTTTAGACAAATATACCCTCGAGAGCCCTAGTTTGAAAGGTTAGGTTAGTACAGTCAGGTGGTGATAGAGAATTTGGAGCGCTGAGTAGGCCATACCATGGTCGAAATTATAGTATGTCCTACACGACTCTCTTCCCGTCATTACACGTTGTAGGTTGAGGATCCCGAGAGAGGGGGTCGTATTCGGTCGCTGGAGGAAGGGAGGGGGCGTACTTGCCTCTGAGAAGACTCTCTTTCCGGTTGTTGAATTTTTGCAGTCTTGATTTTTCCTTTTTTCTGTTCAATGTGCACTCCTGGGCTACGTACCCCTTCCATTCCCACCCTAACCACTCAACGACAGTTCTTTCTTCCTGCGAAAAAAGGAGAATTTTGGAAAAAATCTGCGGAAAAGTCGAGAAAAGTGTTATGAAATAATGAAAACTTAAGAAGATCAGGAGGATGAAGGATGGGGAAGGGGTCGTAGAGACTCTGAGGGGGTTTGCAATTGCTTCGCCAAGAGCGTCCCCTGTTTCCTGTTCCTCAATTTTGTCTATAGCACGCCCCCCCCTCCCCGCAACCTCTAAGTTCAACTTTGCTTACCTTTCTTTATACTGAATTGCCCAGGAAACTCGCTGATCGAGAGATCCATGCTTTTAAGGAAGATTTTTTCTCACTATGACCACTTATTTTCCCCGCATCATCTCAATACCCCCTCTGACTGTCGAGCTTGGGGGAGTTGAGGTACCTTCGGTCGTCAGTCGGTAATGGGTAAACTACAGCACCACAAAGTAAAGGGGGGGGGTATAGCCGTATAAATTTCCCATTAGCCAAATACGGCTCTCCTTTTCTTCAGTGGGACCCACCATTGAGGATTCCTAGACATACGCTTCACCTTGATGTAAACCTCAGATTGTACGTTCTTTCTAGAACGATACTAATACGACTTCGGTGAGGATTTCTCAGCCACTCCACGCAACGTGGGCCGTACTAAGGTGCACTGTGGCCTTCCTAGCGACGGCAGTCGCCCAGAGACCACGACCGTCGATGTGACGCACTGTAGCGCGTTACATTGCGAGATCACAAGCAGGATCGTATTTGCGCCATGCACTAGCGGTCGTTTAGCGCCGTCTGTTCGTATGCCGGGCGGTCGTTCAGGGGCCGCCTTATTTTTACGTGTAAAAGCTTTTGTTCCTGATTGTTTTGGTCTCCCCCTTCCGATTCATGATCCTAATCTATCGCTATTCTCCGCCCGCCACTCGAAAATCTCAGATAAGATTCGCCGGTCAGACTTCCGCACAATCGCGCCGATCACGACAGGCGGCGCTCCACCCCCTAGCGATGCGCTGCAACGCAGTAAGTAGAATTCCAAATTGCGAGCCACGTTCTTAACAGCTGCAATTTGGAATTGATGCCGTTGCGGCGGCGGTGCAATTCATGCGGAGCGCATCCATTCGTCGATGCGATCGCGCCGATCGCGAACTCCTGAACGCGGCTCGTGTGCGTGTAGCAAGGAGGACTGCCATACTGTGGAAGCCCGTACCGTAGGCATAATGTGAGGGTGGTATCGGTATTCTCGTCTCCCCTAAGCCCGCCACGGACGCTGCCGGGCGCCATATATAAGAATCGGATATTTTCTACGCTTCATACGCTATAAAGGATCGGTGGAGGACTCAGACTTGTGGAATTGCTAATTCCGATGGTACTTCCGGTATTTCTACGGCTGCGTTGGGAAATAGTTACAAGGCATCTGTTAACCGAAAGTATTGTCGTTGCGAGAATCCGATGTGTTTTTTGTCTTGGATCTCGAGATATCTGTTAATCGTGAAGCCTTCTTCCTTTTCCCTTCCTCCTTCCTTCTCTATCTTCCCTCTCCCTCATTTTCCTCCCTTCAAGTTCAGTCAGAAGATGCCATAGGATTATATCTCTGGAAGAGAAGTCCTTCAACCCGTTGTTTGGCTGAGCCTATGAAGGCGGAAGAGAAGAGCGGGAAAAGCAAAGGGAGAGAAAATTGTGAAGAGGAAAGAATGGAAAGAGGAGGCTTGCAAGTGGGAAATGTCCTGACACCAAAAAACGAGCCTTTCTGTGGCACTTCTTCTCTATAAATTTTCATATTTACCTTAACATTTGGTATAGTGTAGAAACCTTATGAACATCATTTTTAAGACGCTTGTTATTTGTGAAGTGTTTAGGTGCTTGCGAAATACAATGGCAGCGCAGCTGTCACGTTCGAACACCCGCGACCAAGAAATTGCGCAGACAGTTTTTGAGGAGGTTTCAAATGATCAACAAGAAGAGCCGACAGCGTTCATTCTCATTGAAAAACTCGAGGTCAGTCTGATATACCTATTATTCGTCGAGTTGTAGCTCTTATTTTACTCGACTCCAAAAGGAAGGCTGTTTTCAAGGACTCTTCTTTATTAATATTCAAAGTTAATATTTTTAGCAATCCGGTATCAGCTCAGGGGATATCAAACGCCTCAAAGAAGCTGGATTTAATACCGTTGAACGAATTGCACATGCTATGCGAAGCGAGATTACGTCTGTGAAAGGCATCAGTGAACAAAAAGCTGATAAGCTTCTAGTAAGTGATTTCATATTTCTGATGTATATTTTTTCACAATTACTGCTTGCGTTCTTGAAAGGCATGCTCCCCGTTAAAAAATGGTGAGCTGTGCGGCTTAAGTTTGATGGCACGGTTACGGGGCTGTTGTCAACCAGACGTGCTCTCGCTGCGAGGGTCCAGGGTTATTTTCACGAGGCATCTACCAGTCCAGTAGTTGAAAGGGAGAAGGTAAAGGAGGAGGGATCAGAGAAGGAAGGAAGGAAAAGAAGGAGGGAGGAAGAAAAAGGAAAGAGAGGAGAGGCTTCTCGGTTGACAAGTGCCCTGAGACGATGGCACTATGGTAGATAGAGAGAATGGAGAGAAAAGCAGAAAAAGAACTCGCTCGATATTCCCCTTATAGAACCCTATGCTGTACCGCGCCTGCGTGAGGGAAAGAAAGGGCGTGGTTGGACAAGTCCTCTTCTGTTCTACCCAGCTGTTTCTCTTCAGCTGACTCTCTCCTTTTGAAATGAAGGAGCATCCGCTACCACCAGGAGCCCTTAGAAATCAAGGCCACGCTCATCTCTGAGATTTTTCTACTGCGAAACCTGTATATTCTCCATCGGATGTGTTGCGGACAGTCTAAAGAAGGTGCCTGAAGTTCAAGGGTGGTCAAGTGTGGTATCACATCCCTCACAAAAATCACTTATTTAGCTGGTTTCTTTTTATGTTAAGATGTAGGCAAGGTTACCTGAGTAGTGGAATTCCTTTCGCATATAAGGTGCACGATTCTGCATTGGCATGGATATACTGCCTTAGTCGCTGCGGATGCTGGGGCGTGTCAGGGGAGCCGGATTTGGCGCAGCGTCAGCCCGTTTTCCACTACTTTTGTCGCTTGCCCGGTCCAACAGATGTTATGAAAGGGGCTGGCGGTGCGCTAGACCCATCCCCTGGCACCTCTCAGCATACGCAGCGAGCAAAAATGTACAGTGATAATGGGAATGTAGTGGTGCTCTTACGTAAACGATTTGGCGAGGCGCCTGCTTGGTTCCTTAGTGAGTACCTGCCCCGTAATGACAGCAACTATTGGCGGCGGACCGGCGCAGCGCGCCGACGCTTCGTTGTGCTCATTCGCCAGCCGAATAGTGTGGCAAGGGCGCTAAGGACTTGCGACTGAGGCTCCACCTCCTCGCCCAAGGCTTCGCCTATCTGATTCCACAAAACATTAACAGAGCTAGGAAGAGCGCAAAACTAGGCTAACCATAAGATTATCAAAGAGAAAATTTCGGAAAATCAACTGGGATGTACAGCGGCATCATAATGAAGCCAGCAATCCCAACGAAAAATTGAAAATCGGGACCCGTGCAGCCAGTTACATAAAATGGTTTATTTGGGTGACCTTCACAAACTGTTTTGCTTTTCAACTTTTCTGAGTTAACGAGCGTCTAAAAGCTCCGGTTTCGACATCACATGTGTTTCTCCTCGAAATGTATTTTCAAGCAGATGTATGCGAAGCACTGAAATGATGCTGATTCGGAAAAAGGTGCATGACGTCATTCTTGAAGTGGGCGAGGGTGATGCGTCATGTGACAGGTCGCTTGGGAGGTCATTCTGCGGGGAAATATGATTTGTTAAAGAACAGTATGAGTCAAGACCACAGCGTGGGGTAGAGTTTTTCTTCACACGGGTGTCTGGAAATGAGCTTAAACTGTTTGTCATAGTGAATACTCTTGAGAAAAGGCGAATGTGTCAGCGGGGACCAAGCTACAGCCCACGGCATCTCCCCGCGGGGACCAAGCTACAGCCCACGGCATCTCCCCAGCACGAAAGGGGATTTTGACGCTGGGGTAGGAGAGGAGCGTGTTCGGCCTGGCGGAACACTCTTTAACCGTTAATTTTTAACAGTTTTGCGCTATGTTCTTCCCCCCCCCCATTTTTCCCCCAAGCCACCAAGTCATCGGCGCGGTGCGTGACGAAGTTAGGGGAAGGGGTTCCTACTTGAGGAAAGTTCCCCATTCCTAGGACGTGCCTCATCAAGGGACGCCCATCGTGGAACCCGCGCGGTGCCTAACAACATGAGGAAGTGAATAGATATTTTGAATGAAGTGGGACAGATTACAGGATAAACTTGTAAATGTGAGGAACGATACTAGGCTAAATACTTCGCGAACTGAGTGAGATATCAGAGATTTAGGAGACTACCGAGCGATCTTGAAAGATTGCCGTACGAGGGAAAGAATGACGTATCATTTAACGGAACTACCGAGATTGAGCGATCTGGCAATTCGGGAGCCTCGGCGATCAGGCGCTTTGGAAGATCGCCGAGTCTCTAAAATCGCTAGATCGCTAAATCTCCCGAATCTTCGGATTGCTAAAGCTGGCATCCGGAGCCGATCAATACCCATTCACTGCTTTGGCGCGCGCGATTCGGCGAAATCGCTAAGTCTCCCGACTCGCCGAATTGCTCAGTCTCAGCAGTCACTAGATCGCAGCCTCCGCTTTCATTGTCGCGCAATCTCCCAAATCTCCAAATCTCTCCAGTCACGGAGTCTGAACGCTACCTAAGGCTCTGAAGGGTCCGGAAACAACACAAGGGCTGCCGTAAAAGCTCCAGTTCCTCGTAGGTCGTCATTTCCTTTGTATGAAGTACAGTGACCCTTCCAAGCCGTGTGCTATCAAATAAACCGTTTCAAGCAAGAAGCCATGAAATTAGTGCCGATGGGTTTCACCACCGCTTATGAGGTTCACGAACGACGCAGCGAGCTGGTTCAGATTCGAACCGGATCGCCCACATTGGATAGACTGATTGGTGGAGGAGTGGAAACCGGTCATATAACCGAGGTAGGTTCTCAGAATAACTTTTTAAAGATTCCTACGCACTACCTTGGCGTTATTATTTTAAGTAATTTCTTCTTTTAGATTTTTGGCGAGTATCGCACGGGCAAAAGTCAGATATGTCACAGTTTAGCAGTTATTTGCCAATTGCCGATATCAATGGGAGGCGCCGAAGGTAATTGTGTTTTCATTTCATAAATCAGAGAACAACTGTCAAGTAGCTGTTATTTGTGAGGCCTTGGCTCTATGATGTTGCGGTCCTTCCTCTCCAGGGCACGTTTTGACTGTGGGGAAAAATTTTGCAAAATGCGATTCCCTCGTAATATCCTCTGGCACGGCCCCTCTTTCCCATCCCTTACCCTTCCTACAACTTCCTGAATTTTCTCAACTTCCTATTACTTTTTCGAAGTTTTTCTCCGGAAATTCCTTCACTTTTCGCTCAAGAAAGTGCCGTCGAGTGGAGAGGGAGGGGGGGGGGGAGGGGGGGGGGGGGTTGGTATGTAGTACACAGGAAACAGGAGAAACGGAGAAAAGTCAATGATCGACAACATTTTCCTCAGAATTACGTACGACCCCTCTATTCAGTTACCAATTACAATCATCCACTCTGGAATCCCCGAGATTCGAGCTGCCCTGTTCCTTTCTAGTTGAACTTAATTACACTCTTTGAGATTATCTTTCGCGTGGATCATTTCCTCGTGCAAGGTGGGCAGGTTCGAAGCTGTAGATGTCCGTTAGTCCGAATAACGGGACTTCGTAGAACACTCGATATTCGAATGTGCACGGCAAAGAAGTCAGGAGATCGTGGTAGCTTGATGTTTTTGTCTCTGTTTACCATTCAGTGCGCTATAGAGACCCTATAGGCACGCCGTACGTGCAGTCGCGCGCCCGATAGTTGTCACACCACTGGTGACTGTGGCGGGCGCAGAGAGATAAGGAGCATCAAGCTATCACAAGTCTTCAGCTTCCCTGCCGCTTAGGCTGCTGTCATGCTTTGCGGTAGTGCGCGAGCACCAGCAAGCATGCGACCACCAACGTTTCAAGCCCCCGTCAGCGCCAGCGAATAGAAAAGTATGGATATCGATCTAGCGTCCATCAGCATGCAGCAGCGTCCACCAGCGACTACCGAACTATGGATATCGATCTAGCGAACGCTAGGGTCCATCAGCGTCGACCAGCTGTTTAGGAGTGGCGAGTATGGAGAAGTAGAAGGAGCAGACAGCTAGGCTTCGTGAATTTACGGCGTGTGCAACCGCAGCGTATATCGCTAAAGCGCAGAATTATGCAATTTAATGTACGGTGTTGTGTAGTAGTACAGGGGTTGCACACGACGCAACTTCACGACGCCTAATCCTGTAATCTGCCCTCTCCTACTTACCCATACTCTGCCAGCAGTCTGCTACCTTCCCACGTCCGTACTCTCCACTTCTGGACGCTGATGGACGCTGCCGCGAAGTATGAACGCAGCCTTAGTTTCAAGTGACGAGTATGCCGCGCTTCTACTCTGCGAAACTGCCAACTTCGATCGCGGGAAGGGTTCGCCTCTTAGTTTATTTTTCAGGAAAATGCATGTGGATAGACACGGAAGGGACATTTCGACCGGAACGTTTGGTTCCAATAGCAGAAAGGTAGCTTTTTAACAAGTGATAAGCAAAATTCAGGAAAACATTGATTTGAGAAAGGTTTCTTGCAGATTCAATATGCAGAGCAAGCATGTATTGGAGAACATCGCGGTAGCTCGGTGTTATAATTCAGACCACCAGATTGCGCTGCTGACAACTGCAGGTGATTGTCTTACACCACATTATTCTTTTTCGGACCAGCTGCAATAAGATGACACTTGCGAAGCTCTTCGAAAAATTGTGACGTTGTGGATGACCCGAATCCGTTTGTTGTAAATTGACTCTGCACTAGTTTCGGGGTATTTTCGAACGAGAAAAAAAATCGGTGAATCGTCTTCTGCTGTAAATCACCTTGCAACGGATACAAGTATCTTGTAGTGCGTTCCGAGAAGGATCAATAAGTTTCACACTGCAAAATTATTTTGCAGGGGGTCATGGGGTTCAGGTTCATCATCAATGGTCAGTTTTTTTTTCAAATGTGCTACCTTATTTTTATTCGTCTACCATCGAAAAATTTCCTGTTCAGCGGCAATGATGGCTGAAAGCAGATACGCCTTGTTGATAGTTGATAGCGCCACTGGATTGTTTAGGTTGGTCGTTTCAAGAACACGAAGGGTTGGTTCGGGTTTACTGGGATTCCCTCAGGCTGCGTTCATACTTTTCGCCGGCGAATCGTTCCAAGCAGTCTTGGGCGAGACAGCGAAGTATAGCAGTAAAGAATCTGACGTCGTCGAGCCGTCTCGAGAGCTTTTGAGAGAAATGCTAGTGCTAGATCGACACCCCTTGCGCTCAGAACGCTCGGAACGCCCCAGACGGCAAAAACGCCGGCGAAAACTATCGACGCACCTTTAAAAACAGCCTCTCACATACTTTATTTATTCCGGTCATTTGCCATTGTTGCTTTTTTCAGGACAGACTACTGTGGTAGAGGAGAACTAGCTGCTCGACAAATGGCACTTTCAAAGTGAGGAAGTTTTCCGTGTGACTGAGAGACGCTGCGGAGTGTACCAAATGTGGCGCCCTGGAATAGGCTGCTCATATGTTCACTGGAGAGAGTTTGCACTAGGACTGTAGTAACGTAGTGAGATTTACCATCACTCCACCTCATAACTTGTCCCTTCTCTGTGCTCTGCACACCATAACTTAATCTGCGATTTACTGAGAGGTAGAACCTTTTCCGAGTATGAGGGAAGCGATGTTCCGAGGGAGCTGATGTCCGCTTCGCGAAGCGACTTCTGTATTTTCGCGTGAAACGCCATCAACGTTGCCCGCACACAGCAGACTCCATGGGAAGTCCCTCCCCAGATTGTCCTTCCCCCCCCTTTCTGCCTTATTTGCACATATTATACTTGCCCACATTCTCTGTGCTCTGTGCATACCCACCCTTGAAGACTTATTTTCCGATAACCTGAGAGTAGGGATTTTATCCGTGTGAAGCTGCTCACGGATAGCTACACCGGGTGTGTCACTTACGCCTCATGTACCGTTGATCTCTGCAACGATGAGGGCGTGTGACGGGCCTGAATTGGGGCGCTGCAGAGCGGTCTCTCCCACCGACGGTAACATCCTGTCTAAAACATTTTTCGGGAAAGTCCGCACTGGCTGCGCTCCGGTTCACGCTCACACGCCCTATCATTTGCAGGGATCATGGCTTTGAATGGGTGACAAAGGTGATAGTGTATCGTAGTACGCGCGAATTCCTACGTGCCGACATAAAGCTGCGCATTCCTCTCTGGTTGACTCATTGATACGACTTATTGAATCAATTTGGACCTAGTGCGAATGCCGCTAAGGCACCAATTCCAACACCTCTTTCGCCACCGTTGCTGCGACGTAAATGTGATGAAGTAACCTCGGCTTGCGACGGCGTTCCTGGTTTACTCGCCCGCGTCAAATGCATCTCCGCCTCTCGCTTCACCGCATACTCGCCCCTGCAAATTATCCGAATCTCATGTGTTTTGATGACCAGTCTGATCGTCCGTCTCCTCCAAAAAAATTTTCGCAATTCCAGAACATTACCGTTTCACCTTCCCGATATATAACTGCAACACCTCTTTCGCCACCATTGCTGCGACGCAGTGATGAAGTAAGCTCGAACTCGCCAACAGTTCTTTGGTCCTCGCCCCCCCCCCCCCATCTGCTCCGCCCCAGTCGGACAGTTGTGGAATTTAGTAAAGGCGAAGGAATGGAGAAGTCGCGTACTGGATTCATAGAGGTGAACCGAAAGTGGAAATTATTGTTGTATTCGATTTTTCGTTATAAGACAGGTGAATAGGTAAATAAACAAATAAGTACTAATAGGTTAAAAATTTTCTATTTCGACCCCCATGCTCCCATTCCATGCCTTGTTCACTTCTATTCTCATGCTTCTTGAGGCGAAATTATAAGCTTTTGCAGTAGGCGCCACTAATTCGGTGCACATCTCATTCATTGAGAGTTCATTGAGAGTTTCACTTCTCGCACGCCCCGCCCATTGTGGGCGGAGCCTAGGTTACCTGTACACTCCTCTCATTACGGGACTGTCGGGCGTATCGGGCCGCACATGTTTGAAGCCGTCTCAGCCTTTCTTTGAGGCGCGTGATGCGACAAAAAAGTGGTAGAAAACCGCAGTAACGAGGATGTAGTAGCTGTCTATCTCATTTGATCGCTTCAAAAACTGCGTGCGAAAGACTCTGGAACCGCGAAGCAGCCGCCTGACCCGCCCCCGACAGTCCTCTAACGATGAGGAGTATATCTGCTCTTTTAATCGTTGACCCGTGCCCACAACCATCCCAAGCTTAATCCGTTCCCAAAAAGGGATTTTCTAATCCCTAATTTTTCGGGCGGTCAGGCAAACATATCACACACACACACACACACACACACACACACACACACACACACACACACACACACACACACACACACACACACACACACACACCACAATATAGAGAGGGTTTTTGATGATACCATGCGCTCCTTTTTCACGGGTTGATCAATTATGACCCATAAACTTGTGGTTGGATTGTAATGACTGCGAGTGAGAAATGTGTGTTTAGGTAACCGCTCGATACTAAAGTTCATAACGTCCTCAAAAGCCCATTTTCTACGAACACTGCACTTCGACTTTCTTCTAATAGTTGATTGATTAATTCCATATTTTCCCTGAAAAGGCTAGCAATTTTCAGAATGATGCGGTTACTCATCAAGCTTGCAGATGAATTTGGTGTGGCTGTCGTTATAACGAATCAGGTGAAGCTGACCTTTCATTCCAAGCTCTTAAAGACAACCTATAAGCTTACCCACGTAAATCGCGGTCCTTGCCATGTGTGGGGTGATTAAGTCTGCATCTGCAATAGGGGGCCGCTTCTCCTGCTGAAAGTGCACGGAAGCAGGCTGGAGGGTAGATATAGCTGGCTGCCGTCCCTCGGATTTGTTTGCCGGCACCAGCCAGCTACGGGCCTAACCATAGCCAAACACGCTGCTTGTCTGCGCCTTCTCATTTATGGTTGTTCTTTAGCGACTGTGGTCGCTGCGAGGTTTTGTGCTGCGTATCCATTCCCCACGCACATGTCAAGGACCAGGGTCCACGGAGAAGAGTGTACACCTTGCCTTCGAACTGATTTTTTTTGGTTTTCAAATTGCTCAAGTGAAGTAGTGTAAAGCTGTGCACATCTTGCTGTTATTACAGTCAGATTGCAACGGATGCCGCATTTTTCGTCTTCGTCTCGTTTCCCAGTTCATCACCTTACTCAGTGTTCTCCATAAGCTTTGCCGATGAAGTACAAAAGCTTGATCTTTTCTGCCTGGAAAATAAGTTTAATCTAGCTGAAGACACTTCTTCAAGCCGGATTATAAGGCTAGAGGCGTACTTTCGAGCAAGGCGTTCCCTACCTCTGAAGAACGATTTCCCAGTTTTGGTTTTTTTAGTGACACATTGAAAAGCAGTATTAGTGCCTAGTCGACAGGGCCAAGCAGGCCGGCAAAGCCATTGTCATGACAGGAGGCCGCAGTTGTTGTTTAATATTCCTGGGAGAGAGCAAAGTCATCAGCTTGGTCAAGGAGAATGAAGTGTTGCGCTGTGTGCTTTATGGCTGTATTTTAGATTGTGAGCTATTGAGTAGTATGACTTGTCCGGTTGGCGATAGGGCGCCGTTTGCTGTTGACATGGCCCTGGGTTCAGATCTTGGATCAGACAAGCAATTATTTAATCCATCCCAGTTAGGTGATTTGGGACTGGGACTTCGGAAGAAGAAAAACACGGATAGACGAGAAGAGTCTAACCTCGAACTGAGTGCACCATGCCACCTGCTTCGTGTTCGCTTGTTATAAGCGGGAGAATATTTATTTCGTGTTATAAAAGGATCTTAGGCAAATTGCTGTAAAACAAACCATGTCCCCACCGCCAAGGCGGCTCACGCCCTTGTTTTCAGCGCCTCTACCCTGGATCGATAAGACACGACTTCACATTTTCGCAAACTCATTCTATCACGTGTTTCCATGTCTGTATTTACTAACAATTTTCAGCAGCTGAAATTACAAATGTTCTCTCGAACTCACTAGTTTACGAAGTAAAAATTACTACTAACTATTGCAGGTAGTGGCGCAAGTTGACGGAGGTGCTATGTTCCAAGTGGATGCGAAAAAGCCAATTGGTGGAAATATTATTGCTCATATGAGTACAACTCGGTAGGATATGTTGAACCCGACTTTTTGAGCTTTTTTTTCTTGTTTCGTCTCATCGTTTCTCACAATATAATGTTATTCTAATGGATCTTCTCCTATCGACTCTACGCCTTCACCTTTTTCACCACATCATCGGTTCCAATGAGAGAATGTGTCGTTTGTCTGCGTGACCCAGATTCGTTTCAACAAAGAAGCTTACGTTTTCACGCGCTCCCACTGCTGATACCTGTGATCTCCTGTAGGAGTTACTTCCTAATCCCTACTAATTATAATTTGCTACTCTGTTTGTTTGTCCGGGAAATTCGGTTCTACTTGAAGAGCAACTTGGTAGGAGGCTGGGGAGAGGGCAAGGGAAAGGAAGAGAAGAGCACACGTAACCCGTGCTAGGCCCTGCCCACAGTGGGCGGGAAGTGCGCCGGAAGTTAGCAGTGTCTAAAAAATTTACATTTCGGCTTAGGAGCAGTCAGAGGTGGAGGACAAAGTGGACCAATATTAGCAAGGGGTTCACAGATTAACTGAGTGAGTGGGACACACTCTTTCTTTTTCTGGGCGGGGCATACTTGAGGTGGGTGGTGCTTCCCACGAAATTCATTAATTCGGTTATAGATTAGGGTACAATCGGTTTTTTGGTACGGAAGAGACCGAACCATTTGGACCGGATTTGTCAACAGTAGGTCAAGATTGAAATAAGCGAAGTTGTTCCATTAGTGTGAAGTGAGCAGCTGCAATGTTATCCGCAACTGTAGTACGGAACGCACACTAGATTTGCGCCATTACCTTGAATAGCTACGCCAAAAGTTCTGAGCGCTGATCGGCTGGAGGGAGTATTTTTCACTATCGCTACTTCCTTTTAGTTAGATCATGTTAAGTAACAGGTCTCAGTTCGGTGGTTCGCCCTTTCCTTACAGGAATTCCAGGTCTTCACAATATGGCCTGTAAAAGCGTGGCCGGGTACCATCTAGTGCCCCGCCTAGTGAATTGCGACGAATTCTGAACTATTGTTGTTTGCTTCTTACTTTTCCAGCGTAAATTATGTGCGCAACCTTAGGCGTAAACAATTTTTTTGGTAGGTTCAACCTTCTTAGCTGGAGGTCGTGTAGAGTGACAAGGGGCAGGTTCATTAGGCACTCCGAGGGTCAAATGGAAGGACC